AATATAAGACTCACAAATATGTCTATCTTTAATACACATAATTGAAATGAATAATACCTGGAATAGCAATATTGTTACACTATGTTCTTTAGAATCTTTTAAAAAAATCAACTGATAATCCATTTGTACATACAATATTCACATATATGAGTTTAAAGAAAAAACACCTCTGTACATGATAATAAAAAGTAAGTTTTATACACACACACACACACACATATACCGGGAGTGCCAAAAAATGTATACAAGTGGACGCTTTGGTCAATGTTGCTCAAGCAGTAGTTTTCCATACAGAAGTGTCTGGATATTGATGGTAACCACTTTGAGCACCTCTTGTAATTGCAGAAGTCAATCTGGTTTTCATTACCACACCTCTCTACTTTACCACAGGTCACCTGAGACCTCGTTGCTAAACTCAAGGGCTTCTCCTGGATCTCAGACATATTTGAAATCTTATTGGACCTTCTTTAAATTCACTCCTTTCTTGTCTTCTCTCACCTCTTACTGAGGTTTTCTTTTCACACTTCACCACTTCCCTTCTCCATCATGCCCCCTAGATGTGCATATTTCCCAAAGCTCCATCCTTGTCCTTCTGTTCATCCTCTTCCTGGGGGTGGAGCGGGGTGGGGGAAGAACTCATTATTAAGGTTTACATTACCACTTTTATGCTAAAGACTCCAACATCTTGAGCCATAAACCATCCTCTTCTCCAAATTTCAGTTTCAAAAAGAAATGCAAACTGAGCATTTCCACCTGGCCATCTCACCCTGACCTGGATGATCGGTTATCCATCCCACCTGATTGATTGTGCTCTGAACTTCTGGGCAAAGGCCAGTGGCTCCACAAATTCTATCTGGCACCCAGCCTGAAATGCTTGAAACCTGGGAGTCCTTCAGACTTTTTACAAACATCCTCTGCAAATGAAGGCGTGATTGTGGCTAGTTTCCTCACAAGTTTTCCTTGAAATTTTCTGTCATGATTTCATTCCTTTACATTTTCACTGACCTACCAAAGGTCTGGATTGCATTACAAGATTACTAAACAGTTTCTGCATTATCCTATCATTTAATCAACTGAAATTTATTGAGGAAAACTATGGGTGAGGGGATACTAAGATGAACAAGGCACACAGACAACTATACTTGAAGTCAGAGAATGGAAAGTAACAAAAACGAGATAAGTAAAGAGCAAAGGAAATTCACAACACGGAGATATTACTTCCAGAGAGAAAACTCTAAGAAAATGTTTCATATAGCAGAAATGACATTTGAACAGGATGGACAGGATTACCTGAATATAGACAAGAAAAAGGGCATTCATGGAATCAGAAACATCAGGACTTGAATTCCCGTTCTGTGCCTAATACCCTTAGGGCAATTTACTTAACCCTCATCTACAGAACAGAGGTAATAGCAGCATGTTGCTCATAGGTGTTTTGTTAGGATTAAATAGGTGCACAGCATGGGGTACTGTACAGCACATTAACTATATGTTACATCATGAAAACATAAAGAGAAAAATAAGGAGAACAAGATATATGCTGTAACACAATATAATTATTTAAATTAAAGTATATCACACAGTGGTTGCTAGGGGTTAGGGATCAGGGAAGCTGTAACAATAAAGGAGTAACAGAAGGGAATGTTTTGGAGGACCTGAATTCTGATAATAGTGATGGGTACACAAATCTATGTGTGTATTTTAACTCACATTACTGTACACCAAAACAACGATGAATTTTATTGCTTGTAAAAAGTAACATATTTTCATGAATACATGTAAATGAAAAGGTAAACATTTACTACATTAGAAAAGTTGTCTTTGGGAGGGTGAGAATGGGGATGGAGACAAAAAGGAAGAAGAAAATAAATATAAGAGAGGAGCTTTGCACAGACCAGCAAAGACAAAGTGTTATGCCCAAGGGCCGAGGAGTATCTGTGTCTGAGGTCTCCTCCTCTACCCTCAGAAAGGGAAAGAGAATGGCCTAGAGGAAGATAAGTAAAATAAAGGAGAGTAAGTACAGAATTAGGGAAGTGAGGAAGTGATGAACAGGCAGAAAGTAAAGTAAGAAATAAACAGATTTGAAAGATATGGTATCACAAGTTCAATAAGTTCTATGAGTACAAATACCATATCTATCTATCTCTATAGATAGATAGATAGATAGATAGATAGATAGATAGATAGATAGATAGATATAGATAGATTTTACCATTATAGACATAAAGCCAAATCTAGAGTCTGGCACAGTGTGTTGTTACATAAATTTTGGTGACTGATTCAATCAATGAAAGAACAGGATTTACAGCATGGGATGTGGGAAAGGAATGAGGGTGACATCAGGCTTCAAGGCCAGGTAAATAGAGGGCAGTGGTGCCCTTCCCTGAGAGGGTCCCATAAGAAAACGCATATTTGGGGCAGGTGAAAAACAGCAAGTCCAGCTTAAGTGATAATGTGTTAGGACGCCTGTGAAATCTCTAAATGAAGATGAGCAATCCAGGCTTCTGGAGGTATGGATCTGGAGTTGAGGAGAAAGACCTGGATGGATACATCCATCTGGGGCATTCCTAAACATACAACAGACAAATAAAAGCTGTGGGGTCAGGTAAGTTCTCTAGGACAGTGGGCAGAGCGAGAAGTACCCTAGGGAACACAAACTTTTAAAGAGAGAAGAGAAGCCTAAGAAAGAGTCTAGGAAGAAGTCACCAGAGAGACTGACAGAAACCCTGGGGTGCCATGGGGGAAATTTTCAGAACAATGTCAACAGTGTCAAATGCTTCAAGGAAAAGGTTTTGACCAAATTTTGGCAATATGGAGGCCAAAACTTCACCTGAGAAGTTTTAGTAGAGCATTGAGAACCAAGTCAGACTGCAGTGGGACTAGATATAAAAGGGAAGTGAGAAGGTGGTCATAGACATGAAATAATGAGTGTTTAAGGCAGAGAAGGGGGAATCATTGGAAGGGGACCAAAGGTCAGAGAATGTTTTTAAAAGGTTGAGGGGAAAAAGCCATCAAAGAAGGAAAGGTCGAAATTATAGGACAGAAGTCATAATTGACGGTTGATGTAACTGTTACTAGACAAGGTTGTATAAGCTTACTATTAATGCAAAGTTTCTACCCTTTCTTCAGAACTTGTAAGACATGAGAATTTGGGTGAGTCATGGGGGCTTTCAGATAAGGGAGGGGAGGCTAGAGGGATGAGGTAGTAGGAGCACTTACTTTTGACTGTTTATCATTTTGTAGCTTTTAAGTTTTATTCTAGGTATGTGTACTTAGATTATTATAAAAAAATTTTTTTTTAATTATTTAAGATGAATTTCATTGGGGCCAAAGCCAGACTATGGCAGGTTAAGGATGACTCAGAAAAGAAAATGGAGAAATTAGCTGCAGACATCTCTTTCAAGAAGCCTGCCTCTGAAGGGGGTGAGAAAAATAGGATTACATAGCTTGATAAGATTTTAAAAAACTAAAGCATTTTGAAATATTAGGTAAACAATGCAGCTAGTAAAGGAGGTAATGAGGGAGGCAGTGCAAGGTCTGAACAGGCAGCAGAATTTGCAGTTTAGGTATGGAGAGGGGTGCACTTTCACCAGAAATGTCGGAGTAGATGCGATGGGTCCATTCCCATGTCCACCCCTATTTCTTCTACCTATAGCTAGCCTAGTGGTAGGGGCTAAGCTGCTCCAGGTAGGCCTGAGGAGTCTAAACCAACTGGCTTAGAAGACACTAGCTCCTCTGACATAGGAATCGGTCTAGGAATGGGAATGGGATCCAATTCTAGCCAGACAGTCCTAAGAAGGCATTTGGTAGGGCTTCAAGGAAAGGGGTTCCCACGCTTCTGGGAAAGCTGAAGGAAGCGCTCTCTCTCCTGCTCACAGTGAACAAGGAAGCATGTAGCCCCAACTGCTGCTGGCTGCTATCTTATATACATAAGGGGCTGACCTCTGGGATGGAACTGACACTTGGAGGAAGACCAGAGGTGCAAAGATCCTGGATCCTTGATGAAACAGCTGAACCACTGCATCAACCTACCCTGAAGCCTGCCCTCCTTTGGACTTCCTAAACAAAAACTACATTAAGTTGGGTTTTCCTGTCCTCACACCCTGGAGCTCTATCACTGGTAAACATCCCTCCCACTGTGATAAGAGGAATAAGACAAATGGTGAGGCAGGAATTGAGAGGGATGATGTCTGATGGTTCCCATCTTTCTCTGTAAAGTAACAGGTGATCCAGCTGCACAGAGTGAGGAGGGAGCTGGGTGTGGTGATGAAAACCAGACCTGGCTGTTTAGTGCAATGGGGAAGAAAGCTGCCCAGGGCTACACAGAGTACCTGGTAGGCAGTGCTTAGCCCACATGGGGTTTTGAGACATTTGCCTGATGCAAACAGCATGAAGCGGTGCCACTCACCCACTACCACCGTTCTGTGAGAACAGACTCTGGGATTGTGACAGCACATCAACAGAACAATAGGAAAAGGAGGTGGGGACAGCAGCACAATAGCAGTTGAAGAGATGGACTCCAGGGTCTACACTGGAAGGGAATGAAAGCAGGAAAGGGGCTGATCAGTCAGGAAAAAGCAAAGGGACAAAGGACTAGACATCTCGTTGTATCAAAGAACAGGTACACTGGAAGTGACAGTATCAAGGAGATGATGCAGAGGAAGTTTCTAGTAAGCAGCAGTAAGTGTCCCCAGAATTCTATAAAGCAGGGCTCTGGAACCAGCACCCCCCATAGGCCACTGTCCAAACTCCCCCTAGCCTGTAAGTGTTGTTCCAGGATTAACCATAGTAAATTCTCATCTAATTGAAGCAGGGCAGACAAAGATAAGAACTCAAAGGGGCCTAACTCTTCCCCTGTCACCCAGAGCCATGTGCACACTGGTAGGTTAGAGGGGAAATGTTTCTGAAAGCTCTACAGGGAGAGAAGATGCTCTGTGAAGGAGAAATGAAGAACACTGCAAGACAAACAGTCCTTCAACTGGTACTTTTAAAGAACTCACCTCTGCATTCATCTTGGTCTCTTCCTCCAGTGGCTGTGAAGACAAAAGCAGAGGTTCAGGACCCTCATGGCACCCACTCCAATCTCCATGCTCTCCAAAGACACTCCTCTTTGCCACCCCCTACTTCCTCCCCTACTATTTCCTGTCCTATTGACCCCATCTACCCTAAATGCCTTCACCACTTTGTGCCCTCAAGCAAGAGTACCCAGGCCAGAGCTTGACTCCCCTAGGACATCACTCCAGTGATGTTTCTCTAAAAAGGACATTTCCAACCTCAAAGGTCCATCTCCTGTACTAGAAGACCAGCTATGAACGTTATGCCTCTGTGTACTTGAAAGAATGAGGTACTTCCCAAAGCTGGTGCTCAGAGAGGATAGCTTTGTATCTACCTTTCTTTTATGGGGACAAGCAAGGCAGTGAGAAATATACTTTTTTTCCTCTTCCTATATGAGTTTCCAGAGGTCTTAAATTTATTATGTTAAAAGACCAGTTCAGGGCCGGCCGAGTGGCGTAATGGTTAAGAACTGGCTTGGGATGCCAGAGGGCCCCGGTTCGGATCCCACATATGAGGGCCAGTGACACTGCCCTTTACAGCTAAGATGCTGAACAACAGCTCAACCTCCTGGAGCTGGGCTGCCGTGAGTCACCAGCGACGGCGTAGGCTGCAGCCCCTGTGGCAGTGGATTGCCATGGGCTACTGTATGTAGCCAGCAGCCAGCGTGAGCGGCCAGCAGCCGCAGTGAGCGGCCGTCCAGAAGCCGGCGACTGATCTGCCTCGCCCGGGAAGAGCGCAATGATGGTGCCAACTTGGGCCAGTGAAGCAACGTCCTCCACAACTAGACTGAAGAACAAAACGACAGCAACTTGTCTGTTCCCCTTCCCCCAATTCCCCAGCACTGTTCCCATCCCCCAATGCCCCAATAAAAAAAATCTTTAAAAAAAATAAAGAACAGTTCAACAGGCTATTCTGAACGTTAGCATTAAGGAGGAGGAATGAGGGCACGAACAGGTGCGCATGAGTCAGAAGGAGTGAGAAAAGAGAAAGGGAAGATAAGGAGACCAGGGGAGAGAAGGAAAAGAAATAAGGAACTAGTTAAGGAATAGCAATCGTTCCAAACTTTAATGTACTTCTGGGACTGCTTGTTGAAAATGCCTATTTCTGGGCTCAACCCCAAGAAATTCCAATTCAGGAAGTCTATGGGGGAGGGAAGGCTAAGGATCTGCATTTCCAACAGGCACCCAAAAGATCTGTACACATGGTCAGATAGCCACACTTGGAAAAACACTAGAGTTGAGAGTAGAAAGGAGGCCCTTAAGAATTAACTTTCTCATTCATTTTTCAGAATATTATAATTGCTATTTTATTTTACCTAAGACCAGGGCAGGCAATGGCAGGATGGGGAACTAGAGGTGACAGAGAAAGAACTAAAGATTCCTCTTCACCTTTCCACCTGGGGGAGATATCCAAGATGCCAATGAAAATGACTGCTCTGAGCTTACAGAGAGGAAGGAGGGTCTTCCATGGTCTCTGGGAAGAGGGGCTATGGTATATCCTGTCTTTGGACCCAGCTCTGCATTTGATCTTGCTCTCTTTCAAAATATAGGAAAGGTTAGGCAGAGTGATGATGACCACTGATAATAGTGAAATAACACCCATTTAAAAACAAAAACAAACAAACAAAAAAACCTTGATTCTTGGCAATCCTAAGAACACCTGGGATGATCATCTGGGCTGTTTGTTGAAAATAACATGTCTTCAGTAATTCCTTTCCCTTCTCTCTTCCCACTCCTCCTTTCTGCTTTAGAATAGGTCAAAATCTGGCAAGCATATACACTGTTTTTCCTTTGGAAATCTGGAGCCTTTAAATGCTTCCTGGAAATCTGAAAAAGGTAACTAGCTGGAAGACAAACTCTAAGAGAATGACAAAGTGGGTAAGCTTTCTTCTCAGCTCTCTGGGAGTCAGTATGGATATGATGTTTTACTTCTATTTTTAAGAACTTTAGTTTAAATCTCGCTTGGAGCTTACATCTGAATGGGAAAGTCAGATAATAAAATGCACAAATACGAGGAGGGTGAGAACAATGCTGAGCCTATTTATGTCACTACTTTATATACATTAACCCTAAACCTTGAAACCTTGGCAAAGAAGCTAATATTAATTCCATTTCACAGATGAGGTACCAGAAGTTCTGGGTGAGTAAAAGCACTTAGCCTCATAGTTAAGGCACTGTGACACTGCACTGTAATTTCCAGGCTTTCTTGATCTAGAGCCAAACCCCAGCTTGCCCCAGGGACCTTTACAGAACCTGTTTTATTGTCACCCAGACAGCTTTTATGATAAATAGAAGCCCTGGTGTTTAGGCCTGCTTCAGTCAAGGTGACCATCACCAAACAGGTTCCTCATCTGTAGGATGAGTAGTTGGACTTCATCTCAAAGGTCTGTTCCAGCTCTAAAGTGTTCTCTGATTCCCAGAAAAGAACATTCAGGTGACTCTTAAAACAGGTGGAACAATGCTCAACCTCAGTCATGAACACTGAATGCAAATCATGATTTCACCAAGATGCTATATCAGGTTGAGAGAGATCAAAATGTGTGCCACGGTGTGTTGGTCCAAGTGTGGGGAGGAATACTCTCTGACATTATAGGGGGTCTACAGATGGCATAAGCTCAACAGAAGGCAGTTCAGCAACATCCATTAAAATTCCAAATGCATGTAACCTCTGACCAACAATTCCATTTCTTCCTATTTCTATCTCCAGCCCCAAAACCAAATTCAGGAGAAATCATTAAATTGCCCTGAGTCCTTTGTCCTTGTAGAAACATTACTGCTGCTTGCATTCTCCTCCTGATAAGAACTTCCAGGAAAGCTTTCCTATAAAAAGAGCCTACAACACATTGCTTATGAACTTTACTGCTTTCCCACAGAATCAGGGGAAAGTCAAACAAAAGCAAAAGAAATAATTTGAAGAGATGAACATGCATGAGAAAGAATGCAACCCGGAAATTCTAATACATCATGTGTTAGTGGTCTACTACCTAGGAAGAATGTGTTGTATTGTCAGTTGTAAAGCACGTTCAACTGCAGTATCCTGGCCAGATCCTTCTCATGCTCTTTCCCCTTCCATTACATTTCAACTCCCCTTATAATAAGATGGCACTGTCAAGTGAAGCCGCAACCCCAGGCCAGCTGAGATCTGGCTCCACCATTCAACACCCTCCTTGCCCATCCCACATGTCCTTCTCCCTTCCTCTACACCATCCTGCCAAGACCAGTTAAAGTTTGAACAGAAGCCAGGGAGACCCTTACTCTATATTTTAATATAAAAGATCTTATAAAAGACCTATCCCTCTAACAAAAAAAATTAGGTTTATTGATTTCCAGGGTTTAATTATAAATATTCAAAAACTAAAAGACTTTAAGTTTCTGACCTTTAGAATTATGTTTATAAAGATTTATAAACACATTTAAATTTTCTTTTAGATTGTTTAATTTTTTATTTACTTACATTTATAAATCAATCTAAACTGTACTTTGGTAAATGGCATAAGACTCTAACTGTACATTCCCCAAAAAGACTTGCTCCCAAATTATTCATTGAGCATTTCACCCTTTTTGCCAATGATTCATATGTAAATTCTTATGTATATGATTATTCCTTTTTTTCACTGTTTCTGATTTTTATTCCCATGGCACTAATATATTGTTTACATACTTGTGGCTCTATAATATGTTCTGATACCTGCTTGTTTCAGTTCTCTCATTAACTTGTTCAGTATTCTTATGTATTCTTGCTTGCTGAGACCTCCAGATAAATTATGGAACATATACGTCATGTTAAAAACAAAATCTGAGTTTTGGTCAAGATGGCAGAGTAGGTAAACACTATGTTTGCCTCCTCTCATGACAACATCAAAGTTACAACTATGGAACAATCAATCATCGTTGAGAATTGCCTAATGTCTAGCTGGACAGAAATGCTATTAACTAAGGATATACAGAAGAAGTCACCTTGAGACTGGTAGGAGGGGCAGAGATGCGGAAAGGGCTGGTTCCACATCTACATGCTTGGCAGTTAAAAATTGCGGTGGACCCTCTGAGGACCAGAGCGAGGACCCTCTGGTGTGGGCCCCAGCCCCACACCAGGCTCCCGGCCCATGATTCTACAGCCGGGAAGAAAAGTCTCCATAACTTCTGGCTGTAAAAACTAGCAGAGATAGTGCCTGAGTGAGACAGACAGAGTTGCTGGATTTCCAGGCATTCCTCTTAAAGGACCCACACACGGACTTACTCCTGATGGACTCACTCACTCTGAGCTCCCACACTAGAGCATTAGCTCACATGATTCCAGGGACACACAAGGAGAAACTGAATTGTCTGGCTTCAGGGCAAGGTCTGGAGAGGCAGCTTCCTCCCGGACCTTGTGCTGGCATTGTCAGTCCTCACAACTAATCAACTGGACAGTTAATCCCTCATATTCAAGTGCAAACAGCAACTAAGGCTCAACTACAACAGGAGGGCATACACAATCCACACAAGGGACACATCTGGAGTAGCCATCTCAGGGATATTGCACCACATAGACCCACAGGAAACCTACTACATAAGGCCACACTGCTAAGACCAAGAGACATAGCAGCCCAACTTAATACATAGACACAAATACAGGGAGGCAGGTAAAATGAGGACATGAAGAAACATGTCCCAAATGAAAGCTCCAGAATAAGAATTAAACAAAATGGAAACAAGCAATCTACCAGATGCAGAGTTAAAACACTGGTTATAAAGACGCTCAATGACTTCGGGAAGAATTTCAACAAAGGGATAGGAAACAAAAATGGAGATATAAAACATAAAAAAGAACCAGTCAGAAATGGAGAATATAGTAATTGAAATGAAGAATATATTACAGGGAATTAATCATAGATTAAATGAAGCAGAGGGTTGAATCTGTGATTTAGAAGATAAGGTAGCAGAAAACAGCCAATCAGAACAGAAAACAGAAAAAAGAATCCAAAAACATGAGGAGAACT